TAGAAACTTTGAATCAATCTGACTGTATGATCTGGTGAACTGGAAAGTGCCTTGAGACGACTTGTGTTGTGAATTGGCGCTATGTAAATAAACTGAATTGAATTAAATTGAGTAGAATAACAGAAATGATCTTTATCGCCTCAGGTGCACAGTTGTTGTTCAGATCAAACCCAGAAACCAACCAGACCACTAGTTTGTCCCAATCTTCACTTTGTTTTGTTCCTCCAGGTTTCGAATGCGTTTTCTGCAACTTTGTGTGCAAAACGCGCAGCATGTATGACCGGCACCTCCAGATCCACCTCATCACGCGGATGTTTGAATGCGACGTTTGCCACAAGTTCCTCAAGACGCCCGAGCAGCTGCTGGAGCACAAGAAGTGCCACACCGTCCCCTCCGGAGGGCTCAAGTAAGGAAAGCAAGTACAGACACAGGTTCCTACCTCCACCGCTCCTTCCTCTCCATCCTCGTTTTATTCACTACATGCAGAAACCCCGAAACACACAGTTTTACTGCAAATATTTCAAACTAAACGCCACGAGCGGATATTTGGGTCGACACATTTTCACTGGGTTTGAAGGTTCTGTTGAATCACCCAGCTGTGATCAGCTCTTAGCCATCTAGTGGATCTGAGGGGAAGAGTTTCCAGACCGACTTCCTTCTCCGGAAATTTTCACCAAGCTTCTCTTAATGTTGTTTGTCTCATCTTTGAGGCGAACTGAAAGCCTGGGTTTATATAGATCAGCGATGTCCAAACCATTTCTATAGTTTTAGGTAGATTGTTTCTCAGCCTGCAGTAACAGGTTCTGGATCTTCATGGTTCTATTTCCCCAAAAAGTTAGGATTTACCCAAAAGCTGGTTAATGACTAAGAAATCTAAATCTTTTTATTTTAAGGCCTTAATTAACGCTTCAGTGGAGATGAGTCTCTCCGCACCAACCGACTGTCAGCAGGTGGATTTGGTCTGTTCTAGAACTATGGCTGGAATCACTTTGGAATCCATCCTATGGAGCTAAACCGATGCCAAAAAGTTTGTTCTTTTGAATAATAGATTATCTTGAAACAGAAAAGAAATGTTTCAAGCTTTTTTTCAGGTTCAAGTCTTTTTTGACTGCTGGTCCCTGGTGTTGCATTCAGGAAGTGTGGGAAATTGAGATGTCTTTCGAACAATAACGATGTCCTATATTTATGTAGCTATCAACAAATAACACAAATCTAATTAGAGAAATGATGATTTTGTGAAAAGGAATTTCTTATTCCTCTTAGCACATTTTATTCCTCAGAGTATAATAATACCAGACAGCAGCAGGATCACGGTTGTATCATAAGCTTAGATCAGAGAAGCAGGTTATAATTTTAGACCAGTCATAAAAAGAATATCTGTAACGCTATAAAGACATCTCTATTTCAGATGACTCCTGAATTCAAAGGCTGGAAATATTTTGTCCCCTTGCTGTAGGATCGGCAGTTTGGAACAAAATTAAATCAGTAGATTTAAACATTTCTTTTTAGTTTTACATCTTTTTGTTCTGTTTGTTGTTATGAATAAACTTAGTCAACAATGTAGCTCCATGCCCCTAAAGCTGGGCATACACTGTACGATTTTTTTCACTTTTCGGGCCGATTCTCCAGTCATGCAAGAATATTCCAAACGGGCCGATTTTCCGCCTGATTGTACTTCGTGTAAGGAGCGGCGATCAGCCTCTCACGACCACCTCCCGATCAGGAATCGTGAGGTCGGGAGAAAATCAAACATGTCCGAAATTCAGTCGGCCGTCGTGGGCAAATCACTCAGTGGGCATGCGCAACCAATGATTCTTCTTCTTCTTCCTGTCAGATGAAAAGCATGGCAAGGGAGCGAATAAAATGGAGTACAGACCGTAGTAACCACGTTTGCTCAGCCAGGTCTTTGTCCAAATACTTCGCCACCTTTTCTTCTTAGAGCTTTCAGCACAAAATTGCACAAATCTAGTGAGCTTCATATTCCTCTTTTACTCGTTTGGCTTCCGGATAGACGAGTCAGAGTAGCGCCATCTCACTGTGGAGCTGAGTCGGACGTGGTGTTGAGACGTACAGTGTGAGCAGGTAGATCGCATCAAAGCGTCGGGCTGCACAGTAAGAGAACAAACATCATGACCTGTGAACTCACACTATACGACGAAACCGCAGGTTTGAGCTGTGGCTGCATGCAACAATTGAAAAAATCGCACAGTGTATACCCAGCTTAATTTAGATGATGTCATTTCTACTTAATTTCATTTGAAGAGAAAACAAAGCTGTTCAGTTTCGTTCTTTCCAGGATCTTAATGCCAGCCTCTCTACACTGCAGAAGGTCTTTCCTCTTCACCACAGCCACTTGCAGCAAAGCTGCAGTTTATACAGTTTTTTATATATTTAAAGGCCTCGACTCCTCCACACTTTGCTTTGTCCATCCTGCTACATTTAGTCAAACTACCATAGTTGAGTCCCTGCTAATTTGCGGTTAAAGCAGGTTATTTCAGACTAAAACAGCATAACATGTCCCGTATAAAACCTCAGATTGTTTCCTCTTTGGCATGAGTGCATCTCTCTACCAGCTTTTTGATCAAACAGACAAACGGCGCTGATCACACAACGACGCAAAAAAAAGAGGGAAGCGTGAGAGCCTCACAGATGACACCTGTAAACGACAGAAACCCAGATGTACGGTCAATTTGAGGACGATTTCAGCCATGTGGCTCAGATCAGTTAACCTCACTTCCTCTGCTCATTATCTGCTGCCAGAAAAGCAAACGATGCAAGCTGTAGTTTTGCTGCTTGACAGCTTCCCTTGGCAGGTCCGACTTATTAGACAGCGGTCTGTGGGTCCGCAGCGGCTCCTCTGAACAGAAGGGAGAGTGGAAAAGGAGCTGGAAACGGGCTTCCCCTCAGGGTGCGTTGTCCCTCTGCCCACAGCGAACAGCCGTGCCAAAGATCTGTTGAAATCTACATTCCAGCAGAAATACAGACACTTGGACTGGCATGACAAGGGGCTGATTATATTAAATCTGTTGGCGCAACCCTGAAAGATAATCAGACAAGTTTACAAGAGTTCACATTAGGTTCCTACTGCAGTCTTCATTTCTGGAAAATTTTGCTTTGGTTCAAGTTACAAAAAAATGCTTAATGCACAAAAAACTAAACATTTGTTTATCATAATCCAGTAGAAAGGCATGTTGGAGCAAAAAACTTTCCATCAGAGATGCTCAGATTGAATCTGTAACAGTATTCAAAATAAAATGTATTTGTTTGAAACTTAATTTCACTAAATCAAAACTAAATAAAATCTGTATTTAATAATTTTTAAAAATGAATTAATTTGGATTGAAAAATATTTTTATTGCAGTGAAACTTCAGACTCATTTCAGTTTCGGTTCTAAAGTTCAGATTTTTCTGTGACCAGAGTAATCAGACACAGATTGAATTGTGTCAAATGACAGGCAGCAAAACTCTCAGGTTTTTATTCAGCTCATTACACGCTTCCTGTAAAGGAAATTCCCTGCATGTATCTATCTATCTGTTCTATCTAGGAATATATATCCAGTTTGTCTCTGTGAAGCCATAAGGGCAACACTGATGATGAAAGACCCGTTGCAGGCTATGCTAATCTAGCATCTTTAGTTAACATTTACAGTTAGCCTGTCATTCACTGAGCTGTGACATTTTATCAGAAATTTAATACAATCTTGAGAAAACATCTGCCAAGTCTAAACACAGCTGCATTGCGTCAACATACAGTCTGTGTTCGATTACTCTGGTCTCTCACCATAGCAGGAAAATAAATTGCATTGAAAAAAATAAAGTTTTCAATGCAATAAACTACAGTTTCCAAGCAAATTATTTCAGCTTTATAAAATTAAAAACTGTTTTAATTCAGTTTAACATGCTTAAAAATGGTGTCACTCAATTTCACATAATTGAAAATGTGATGTAGAAACTTTCCCTTAGTTTTTCGTCACTAAATACAGCTTTGGTTCAATCAAACTCACTTTCAAACCTCTACATTCAATTTTAAATTGTGCATATACAAACTCTAGCAGTTTAAATTAAATTTCTAATGGCACAACTTTCTGCCCATAGTTATGTTCGGTCCATCTCCCCTTTAAGAGTCAAAATAAGCATCCATTTCTACCTTTGGAACCATTTCAGGCTCTTCAACACCAGTCCACCTGCTGACCATTAACCTGCCACACACAGGCGTTCAGATCCAAACGTGCAGCTCTGAGGACCATACACCATGTTTTTGTTTTGTCTAGTCTGTGCATGTGCAGAATCATTAAAAAAATCATTCCGATTGCCGCCTCATCCCGTCATGAACAGGAATCTGTGTTCAACACGTTTTTCTGTGCAGACGTTAGGGCAGTTAGCATGTTTGATTGGGTGGATTTCACTGGAGGCGATTAGGAGGCTGCAAACGGACATCTGTTTGAGGGCAAAAGCAGAGGTTAGGACGTGTCTGCAATGGAAGCTCCTCACTAGCCCCACGCAGCGGTTTCATGTTGTCGTTTTGTGGGTAAATCAACTGCATCTGGAATATCTGACATGTTTCTTCTGTCTGCTCTAAATGTTTTCAAGATGATTCTCCAGGTGTACATTTTCTAAATCCAAGAGGAAGGAGCATTTTTATGTCCATGTCATGTAGTCAGAACCTAAAATCCAGTTATTAAAAATGATTAGAAATGACATTTACCATCAGAAGTAGGATTTACAGTTTGGGTCAGAAGTTTACATACACTGATCATTGGTGGGTTTGCCTAAAATAATTAAAGGATCTAAAATAGTTTATTCAGCTTTTTTACTTTCTCACAGTAAATCTCTTTTTCAGTTGACGGTAATTTCCTTAGTTATGGGGTAGGAACATTTTCTTGAAGTCTGGACCTTTTTAGTAGATCACAGCACAAAACTGGCTTCATCGTGGCAGGGTTTGTTCTCAACATCCAACCCATTTAGATCTTCTAAAACCACAGAGACATCTCGATAATAGAAATAATTAGAAATGGCTCCCAGAGACGCTCCCCGGTTGTGTAAATCTGCTTAGATGTGAAGGCCAGATAAATGACCTTCAGCAGATTTTATTTTAGCATCTATCAAATATGATAAATGTAATGGTAAATTAATCACTATAGATTTATTAAGAAAATTATTATATAATAATTCAGATTCATCATAACAAAGATGAAGTAGATGTAATATTAGAAAACTCCTGAAGAAGGCTGAGATGAAACCTATTAGGTTTCTGATAAAAAAGATGTGAAACTCCTGCTATCCTGTTCTGTATGTTTAGCCTAATACAGCAGCACCGCATGGAAGAATTTTTAATCACATAAACCTGTAATGGACAGTTAATTGTAAATCGGTAATTTGTTAACTTCCCTAATATACAGAAACATTTCCAATACTCATTCATTAAGGTTAAAAACGCACCTTTTTCAGTCTAAACACAGAACATGCTTTTTAAACAGAATCCCAGATGCTAGTTAGATAAGAACAAACAATCTGACTGCATCTGAAGTATTATCAGTTTGTTGTGCAAAAAAATGGGAAATGAACAACATAAATAGCAAAGTGACTTATCTTTAGGATTGATTAGCTTTGTAGTGTTTCAGTATTGATATGTTTGACAATCATAGAGCTAATTATTAGGGATGCACGATATAATCGGCCCCCTATCGGTATCGGTCTGTATCGGCCTTATAACTGAATATCGAAATTCGGCCACCCCACCGA